AGAGTCTGTTTCTTGGTTTGCCTCTCTCAAAAGACCTTCTTTTTCAGTTTGAGTCCAGAATAAATGCTTACACATTTTGAAACCAGATTCGAAATTATTTTTTTTCCTAGAAAAACAGCTGTACAGAATTTAATTTTTATTTTTTTCTATGCTCTATTAGTATATTTTCTATTTATTTATTTATTTATTATTTTATTTAAATCCAAATTAGTTAACACATAGTATAATAATGATTTCAGGAGTAGAACCCAGCGATTCATCACTTCCATATAACACCCAGTGCTCCTCCCAACAAGTGCCCTCCTTAATGCCCATCACCCATTTAGCCCATGCCCCCACCCAACACCCCAGCAGGAATCCTCAGTTTGTTCTCCGTATTTAAGAGTCTTTTATGGTTTGTCTCCTTCTCTGTTTTTATATTATTTTTGCTCCTCTTCCCTTATGTTCATCTATTTTGTTTCTTAAAATCCACACGTGAGTGAAATCAAATGATATTTGTCTTTCTCTGACTGACTTATTTCACTTAGCATAATACACTCTAGTTCCACATAGCTGCAAATGGCAAGATTTCATTCTTTTTGATTGCTGAGTAATATTCCAGTGTATGTATATACCACATCTTCTTTATCCATTCATCAGCTGATGGACATTGGGCTCGTTCCATTCTTTGGCTATAGTTGATAGTGTTGCTGTAAACATTGGGGTGCATGTGCCCCTTCAAAACAGCACTCCTGTATCCTTTGGATAAATTCCTAGTAGTGTAATTGCTGAGTCGTAGAGTAGTTCTATTTTTAACTTTTTGAGGAACCTCCATACTGTTTTCCAGAGTGGCTGCACCAGTTTGCATTGCCACCAGCAGTGCAAAAGGGTTCCTCTTTCTCCACACCCTCACCAACATCTGTTATTGTCTGAATTATTAATTTTAGCCATTCTGACAGGTGTGAGGTGGTATCTCATTGTGTGTGTGTGTGTGTGTGTGTGTGTGTGTGTTTCCATTGTGGTTTTGATTTGTATTTCCCTGATGATGAGTGATGTTGAGCATTTTTTCATGTGTCAGTTGGCCATCTGGATGTCTTCTTTGGAGAAGTGTCTATTCATGTCTTTTGCCTCTTTCTTCATTGAATTATTTGTTTTTTGGGTGTTGAGTTTGATAAGTTCTTTAAGGATTTTGGATACTAATCCTTTCTCTGGTATGTCATTTGCAAATATCTTCTCCCATTCTGTCATTTGCCTGTTAGTTTTGCTGATTGTTTCCTTTCCTGTGCAGAAGCTTTTTATCTTGATGAGGTCCCAATAGTTCATTTTTGCTTTTGTTTCTTTTGCCTCCAGAGACATGTCAAGTAAGAAATTGCTGCAGCCAAGGTCAAAGAGG